CCCTCCACATCTGCCAACCCCCTCTGCCAATCCCTTCACTGGCTCCCGATTGCCCAACGCATCAAATTCAAATTACTAAACTCTGACCTACAAAGCCATTCACAACCCTGCCCCAAACTACCTAACTGACCTGATTCCCAAATACCACCCTACCCGTGCCCTTCGCTCCTCACAGGACCTCCTACTCTCTAGCACCCTGGTCTCCTCCTCCCACGCCTGACTGCAGGACTTCTCCAGGACTTCCCCCATCCTCTTAAACTCCCTACCCCAATCCATCAGACTGTCACCTACCCTCCTCACCTTCAGGCGCACCCTGAAAACCCATCTCTTCAGGGAATCCTACCCCACCCTCACCTAACAACCGATCTCCTCCACTTCTCCCACCACTCCATCCCCCACAGCCACTTCCTCCTGTACCACTTCCCCTCCCTCCTAGATTGTGAGCTTGAAAGAGCAGGGCCCTTGAACCCCTCGTGTATTGTATTGTTACTGTTTTGTCTCATGTATTGTCTCCCTTGCTATTGTAGAGCGCTGAGCAAACCCTTTGGCGCTATATAAATACTGTGTAATAATAATAATCATCACGGCCACAGACTAGCTCTGGGTGTGAGGACAGCAGGAACAGTCCACCGCTAGACGCCGGGGAGCGCAATTTTTTGAAGGATCAGAGGACAGGGTAAGTGTCTCTTCCCTAAACAGCTGGGCTCTTCCCTAAACAGCTGGACCAAACAAGTAGTTTTACCATGCAGTGCGGGCACAGCCCCACTGCATGGGGAAAAAAAATGACATGGAGTTCTACTTTAAACTAATTATTCTGGCATCTGCCAGAGTTGCTTAATGGCCAGTCTAGGGCTGATGAACCACACACACATACCTTATGGATTTTAATATTCCTCAAGTATATATAAAGTCAAAACATTTATTTTTCATTTTGGCCATCATAAGGGATGGTTAGAACCCTTGTCAGTTTTTTTTTAATCATTCGGTCCCTACTGTGGGCATTTCTCTTAATTTCTTGTCCTGTAAACAGAAAAGGGAATAGAAAAACCTCTCCAAAGTGAAGAAATCCCCTCCCTAGTTGTCTCTGGAACAAGTGTACTCATTAGAAAACTTCTCTATTCCTTTTCTAGCAACAACCTAATATTTTTAGATCTTATTTCAATTTAGGTGACAATGGTTACCAATGTAATTAAAAAAAGGATGAATTTCTCCAGTGGGATATCGATTAAAATCTGACCGCTGTTATAACCCCTCACCAATCTATCTAAAACAGCGGTTCTCAACCTGTGGGTCGCGACCCCTTTGGGGGTCGAACAGCCCTTTCACAGGGGTCTTCTAAGACCATCGGAAAACACATATTTCCGATGGTCTTAGGAACCGAGACACCGCTCCTCTATCAGTCTCCAGGCGGGTCCGCCCACATGCAGATACGTCCACATTTCCCTGGACCGCGATGTGGATGCGGGATGACATGCCGCCCCTGTCATCTGGCCACATCCCCGGGATCACTCAACAGCTCCGCCTCCTCACCAGTGATTGGCCGCCGGAACAGTAGCTCAGGAGAGGCACACAGGCGGCCAATCACCAGCTAGGAGGAGGAGCCAAGCAGCAGCACGAAGATCAAAGAAGATCAAGCGAGGGAGCTGCCGGAGAAGGAAGACAGCTGACAGGTAAGTGTCTGTAGCGTGCAGATGGTGCTGCTGCAGCCAGGTATGCTGGCTGTAGATGGGAGAGGGAGGGAGCGAGCCCAGGCTGGAGCAGGAGTCAGCAAGGTAAGTATCATTGGTGTCAGTGGGAGGAATAGTGCCCATCATTGGTGTCACTAATACGAATGATGGGGCACTATTCCTCCCACTGACACCAATGATGGGGCACTATTTACTTCCCCCCCCACTGACACCAACGATGGGGAACTATTCCTCCCCCCACTGACACCAACGATGGGGCACTATCCCCCCCACTGACACCAATGATGGGGCACAATTCCCCCCCATACTAGTATCAATGATGGGGCACTATTCCCCCCCCCCACTTACACCAATGATAGGGCACTATTCCTCCCACACGGACACCAATGATGGGGCACTATTCCTCCCACTGACACCAACAATGTGGCACTATTCCTCCCACTGACACCAATGATGGGGGCACTATTCCTCCCACTGATACAAACGATGGAACACTATTCCTCCCACTGATACCAACGATGGGACACTACTCCTCTCACTGACACCAACGATGGGACACTATTCCTCCCACTGATACCAACGATGGGACACTACTCCTCTCACTGACACCAATGATGTGGCATTACTCCTCCCACTGCAAAATTACAGTTATGAAGTAGCAACGAAAATAATTTTATGGTTGGGGGTCACCACAACATGAGGAACTGTATTAAAGGGTCGCGGCATTAGGAAAGCTGAGAACCACTGATCTAAAACAAGAAGCAGTTTTGGCTTTAGATACACTTTAAACCAAAACTTCACCGGAAAGGGGAAGTTACATTGTTCTTCCTCCCACCCCCCCGCTTTTTACTTTTGGCACATTAAATTTTTTTTGGGGGGTAGGGGGCAGGAACCTAGTTTTTTATAGGTACCAGCTCCCACTTCTGCTCCGACTTCCTACAATCTGAGCAGAATTTCAGAATTGCACAGACCAGCCCTGGATCTCCTCCTCTGGGGTCCCAAGCTGGTGTTATCAGCTCCTCCTTCTCTAGGTGCTTCTCCATAACAAGCCACTTGTTATGGGGGGCATACACGCAGGCCCTCTCCTGAGCTGCGCTGCCTGGACTTGATTGATAGCAGTGAGAGCCAATGGCTCCCATTACCTCAGCAAAGTCTGGGAGAGTGGTGAGAGGGGAGAGACTACAGACAGGTACAGAGCTGGATCAGGTGAGGACGTAAAGGGCGTGAAGGGGTGATACTGCTACCTAAACATTTTTAACCCATTAGGAAATGCATTAAAGGTAAAAAATGTTTAGGCTTTAGAACCACATAAAAGGGTAAAACAAGTATGCACAATCACCCCAAGCTACCTGCTTTTAAAGGACACTCTCAGGATAAATGCAGAAGAGCTGCGGACTTATTTTTCAAGTGCAAGTTCCAGAACTGTCATCGTTATCCTTAAAGGGTAACTCCACTTTTGTATCATATATACAAGTGGTACACAATGCATATTGTAACTGAATTACTGATTCTCTCCTACCCACAGTACATTTACTGCGGGTGGCACGGGCAGCCTGGATCACGTACATGTTCAGGGGTTTGGGCCGTGCGCATGCTAACCCATGCTGCCACTGGCTACATTGGTATTTTGTCAGCAGGTCCCAGCCAATGATTTATGGCTGAGACCTGCTGATCGGCTGTAGCCAATCACAGTTTATATACACACAGAGCTCTGTATGTAGATCAACGATCTGGCTGTTTCTTCTCCTTGCAAAGCAGGGAGAAAAAGCAGTCAGATCTATTAGTAAAAGCAACACATATTATACACAATACACTTGTTAGGCACACAGTTAACCTTGATTGCCCCTTGATGTTAACCTCTTCACACCGGCAGCACACAAATGTGCGGCCTCCCGTCGTCTGGGCCTAGACGCCGAGCGGCCCCCGCACATTTGTGTGCAATTAACAAAAAACATGTGCTGAGAGTGCACACCCTGCACGCTCCCAGCACACATGTCCGGTACTACTCACGGAAAGGTCCCGGTCTGTTCTTTCGGTCGGGAACTTTCCCGATCATGTGACCACCATGATGACGCGTGACGGCGGTCACATGATCCCTAAACCCCGCCCGTCCCGGCTTCTGAAACTCTTAAAGGGCCAGGAGGCGCCGGCGGGAAGGGGTTAAAGTAGAAACTACAGGCAAAACTTTTTTTAATTTTGGATAGAGCAAGGGAGATTTTTTTTTTCCCATTGGGGAGATTTCCCTTCACTTCCTGTCCCATAGTCAAACAGGAAGTGAGAGGAAAAATTAAGGGAATCCCTTCGCCCCCAGGTCACCAGACCTAGAGTCCCCATTTTAAGATTTCCCCTCTATTACTTTTCCAGGGACAACCCAAAATGTGGGATTTTCTTTTACTTTCACCTTTAATGATAAGGGTAAAAAGGACAAATAGAGAGGGTCAATCTACCTAACGGGGGCACAGACAGCAATAAAAACCTGACAGGTGATCTAATCCATCTCCACTCTAAAACATAAAAAAAAGTTTTGCCTTTTGTTATACTTTAACCACTTCCCCTCTAGTGTCAATAATACAGTGTACAGTATTATATCTGATCACTCTATTAGCGTCACTATTGATGTCATAGTCAGTTAGTGTACCTCCTAACGAGGGTTTGTTAGCATCAGATTGCCCGCCACACTATCACAGCCCCACTATAAGTCACTGTTCACCACCATTGCCAGTATAGCGTCACAGCTGTGTAAATTCCAGTATATATACCATCATCTGTAGATGCTATACCTTTCACACAAACTAATTAATATACACTTATTGGGATCTTTGTTATCAAAAACATTTATAATAATGAGAAAATAGAAATGCAGGTATAGAAAAGTTTGATGTGTGCTGACATTAGTGATGAATGTACATGTAATCCTTATATTGGTGGTCAGTAGAAAATCATCCTCTTGTATCAGTGGTTATTGTAGGTGATTTTAAAAGTTATTGCAAATGCATTATAAAAAAAAAAAAAAAAAATGTGAAAAAAATGTTATACTTACCTGCTGTGCAATGGTATTGTATATGGTGCATTGTTATTGTTTACTGCAGCAACTGCAGTACCCAAATTCAGCAGCAAGTAGCGCTGCAAGTAAAGTTGGCATATTCAGATCCCCAGGTAGCTCTCTGAACAACAGGAGCATGGGGACAGCTTTTTGTTAATACGCAGTGGATTTCCACAACAACTAGGAGGTACCTTTAGTGTACAGGGCCCTATACAGTCTTCCATGATTGTAGTTGTGGTTTTCTCACTAGCCTCTTGTTTTCTTCCATAGGACTCGTCCCATTCCTCCTGGTGAACTGTGAGGAGCCCAGTTCTGAAGGACTCTCCTCCACCTCACTGGTGGACCTCCCCTCATCCTTGTCCACTCTAGAGACCTTGGATTCTACAGAACATGCCAGTGATAGGTACTCAGAAACCGACGTCCACCATGACTTGCTCCACACGCCTCAAGGGTCTGGCTTTTCCAGCCAGGAGACAGAGGAGATCTCCATCTTCCAATCCCCCAAACATTTCTGGGATGATGATACGAGAAGAGTGAATGGAACCAACGATGATGGCGGGTCACAAACAGGTGAGTAACTTTGTTCAGGCCAGTTGTTTCCCCACAGGTTCATCAGGGATCTTGGCAGGCATGACCCTCACTGAATTTTAGAGTTTCTCTTCAAAGCGGGCTGTCTCAACTTTTTTAACCCCTTCAAGTCCAGACACTTTTACCTCCTTCCTGCCCAGGCCAATTTTCAGCTTTCAGCGCTATCACACTTTGAATGACAATTGCGCGGTCATGCAATACTGTACCCATATGAATTTTTTAGCATTTTTTTTAGACAGATAAAGCTTTATTTTGGTGGTATTTATTCACCACTGGGAGTTTTATTTTTTTTTGCTATATAAATGAAAATGTCCAAAAATTTTGAAAAAAAGTGTTTTTCTTATAAAATGTTGCAAATAAATAATATGTCATCATAAATCTTGTCCAAAATGTATTCAGTTATCTTTTTAGTAAAAAAAAAATTAGTTTATAACCAAAAATTAAAATTTTTAAAACATTTTTTTACATTTTTATTTTATTTTTTTTATATTATTATTTGTTTTTTTTTGTTTTTTTTTTTTACATACTGTCACCCTAGCAGTACAGTGTCACCATGGTGACACTGTACTACTTGTGGGGGGTGATGAAGATTTTTTTTTACACTGATTGCTTTTACACCCATACAGGCTGTAAAAGCAATCATTTCTCCTTCTCTCTGGCTGCATTCTTGCAGCCATTGAGAAATACTGTGTGAGCTGTGATTGGTCACAGCTTGTCACATGGTACAAGGTTGTTGTGAATAGCCTTGTACTATGTGACCTCTGTGATCATTCACAGGTTTCACACGTAGTAAGCAATGATGTCAGAAGTGACATCTTGCTTACTACTCTGCATGTGATCACTGATTGGCCAATCAGTGATCACATGATTGGGACCTCGCACAGAGGTCCCATATAGCAATCAGTGTTCCACTATGTACGGAGGACACAGCGGGCACCGGATCGCGGTGCTTTTTGCTCCCAGGGAGCACAAGCAGGGGGCGGGGAGGCCTTTTATAAACGACCACCCGACCCTGCATTGCCACCATCTGGCCGTTTATATACAATGGCCAGACGGGAAGTGGTTAACAAGGTAGAACCTTTCAGGTATTACTTGCTCACCTATAATTACCATATCCTCAACTCATGGTATGTAAAAGAAGGGGTCAGTGGGAAGAATATTCCTTACATTGGTGGTCAGTGGAAAGAATATTCCTTACATTGGTGGTCAGTGGGAAAAATATTTCTTACATTGGTGGTCAGTGGGAAGAATGCTCCTTACATTGGTGGTCAGTGGGAAGAATGTCCCTTACATTCGTGGTCAGTGGGGGAAGAATATTTCTTACATTAGTGGTCAGTGGGAAGAATGCTCCTTACATTGGTGGTCAGTGGGAAGAATATTCCTTACATTGGTGGTCAGTGGGAAGAATATTCCTTACATTGGTGGTCAGTGGGAAGAATATTCCTTACATTGGTGGTCAGTGGGAAGAATATTCTTTACATTGGTGGTCAGTGGGAAGAATATTCCTTAGATTGGTGGTCAGTGGGAAGAATCTCCCACTTACAGATCTCTAAAGAGACTATTGGTGTCATTGGTTACTTACAGGAGCTGAGAGTCAAAAAATTGCTCATTGCTCAAGGAACCCTTAGAAACCTTTGGAGGAACCCCAGGGTTCCACAGAACCTTGGTTGAGAAACGTTGGTTTAAAGGGTCAGTCTTGTTCAAACTAACTGTAGCACTACCCCCCTTAGGAGTTGGGGGGGGGGGGGGCTATTACTGAAACTGATCCCCTGTATGGCTCTTTCTGCAGCAGCTGAAAGCTGACTTCTCTCCCTCTTGTTGGCTTTCAGCTGCTGCAGAGAGAGCCATACAGGGGATCAGTTCCAGTAAATGCCCCTCATCACCCTCCTTGTGCACCATATGTTTTAGGCCCCCCACAGTGCTGCCGGCTACCCTCCTTTCCTTCCCCCCGGCAGCTGCAGGCTCACAATAGGATCCTTCTGGATGGAGAGTGGGGGAAAGTTCCAGTAAATATGTCTTATTTACCAGCCCCTTCCTTTCCTGAATGAACACAATGAGTGATCAGTACTGATCATTTGCTGTGTTAATTCATAACTGAAGTATAGCACACTGTTTTTCTTTTGGGGGGACCCTGTCAGGTTAGCTGTATGGGGCCCGTGGTGTCTAACAGCAGCTCTGATCCTGCCAGTGAAGTCCACCTAATGCAGCTTCCTGTAATGCTGTGGCAAGGATGCTGCACTGCTCCTGAATTCACAGCAGAGTTGTCACTCTCATGTAGGCTATGTCTGCTTGTCCTATAGTGGGATGAGAAGATGTTAAAGGGGACATGGCTTCATTTGAAATATTCTGCCCTTTCCAACCTTATTGCCCCATGCATTGGCTCACTAGTGCTTTTATAGTTAATAATGTGCAGCACAGTGGCTAAATGGTTAGCACTTCCGCTTGGCAGTAGTAGGGTCGCCGGTTCAAATCCCAACAATGGCACCACCTGCCTGGAGTTTGCATGTTCTCCCTGTCCCTGCATGGGTTTCCTCCGGGTACTCCAGTTTCCTCCCACGCTCCAAAGACATGCTAGGTTGATTGGATCCTGCCTAAACTGGCCCTAGTATGTGTATGTATGAATGTGAGTTAGGGACCTTAGATTGTGCGCCCCTTGAGGGTTAGGGACTGATGTGAATGTACAATATATGTAAAGTGCTGCGTAAATTGACGGCGCTATATAAGTACCTGAAATAACTAATAAAATAAATAAATAATGCCCTGAGCAGAATGAAGGGAAACTACTTGCTACATTGGAACTTCATTATCTAAAACACTCCTGTCAATTAACAACTGTACACAGAAAGATTTACACGACCAGCGAAACAACCCACAGGGGACCCAGCGTAATGTAATTCATCAGAAGATAGTAATTGGTAATCCGCAGGGAGAGATTTACAGAAATGTGTGCAATCCTCTGCAGTGATGATTCAGACTAATGCAGCTTCAGCATACTCTGGGACTCCTGTATAACCATTTTCAGGGATATACAGTGAAGGAAATAAGTATTTGATCCCCTGCTGATTTTGAATGTTTGCCCACTCACAAAGAAATGATCAGTCTAAAAATCGAATGGTAGCTGTCAGGGGTGGACTGACAACTCATGGGGCCCCCGGGCAATAGGGGATCATTGGGCCCCTTTGTCCTTGCCCAAACTCAAAAAAGCCTATGAAAAAAAGGTACCAGGGGCATCTCATGGGGACCCCTACTGACCCCGGGCCCTCGGGCAGTGCCCGAGTTTCCAAATGGTCAGTCCGCCCCTAGTAGGTGTATTGTAACACTGAGAGGCAGAATAGTAACAAAAAATTTAAAAGAAATGCAGGTCTAACAAATGATGCACCGATTTGCATGTTCATGAGGGAAATAAGTATTTGATCCCCTATCATTCAGCAGGATTTCTGGCTACCAGGTGTCTTTCATACAGGTAACAAATGAGATTTGCAGCACTCCCTTTAAGAGACTGCTTCTAATCTCAGCTTGTTGCTTGTATGAAAGGCACATGGTAGCCAGAAATCCTGCTGAATCCTCAATAAATTAGCTTAGATCTAATTTAACAATAATCCATTAAGGGATTCTTAAGGAAAGTCATTGATCGTTTAGTTTTTTTTTCTTGCTTTTATACATGAAGGTGGTCAAAATAAAGTTTTCAATGAGTTTTAATGTTTTAAAAATCTGTTTTATACGGTAAAAAGGAACAAAGCCATAACTGCTCATCACTTATGCAGGCACTACTTCCTGCTAGTAGTAATGCACAGTGACTGCGCTTGACTGTTCCTTTGTCTAAGGACAAATCTCTATAAGGCTAATTGAACTTATTATCAGCCATTAAAATAAACATATACATAGAGAATCACGTAGGTCACCGCTGCCCAATGAAAATAAAAGAAAATATACAAAAAAAATAAACATTTTTGTATTATTGTTATAGCTGAACCCACGTCCACAGACAGCAAGGTCACCCAAGATGAAATGAGCACTTGGCCTAAAAAAGATTTGGAAACATCTACAACATGGTGGCCCACAGAGGCTAGCGAGACTCCTAGACAAGTATCTCCAATCATTAAAGTCCTAGCAGAGGAAGATCCCATACAGCCCATACATAATGAGACAACAGCTGTAGTTCCAGATCAGGAGGAGAGGACAGCTCCCCAGATGACATCCACATTTTCCAACCCAACTGTCAAGCCACCCCGAAAGAACAAAAAACATTCTGGGTCCAGAGGACATCATGCCGGTCACAAGTCAGAGTCTGAACTTCATCTTGGACCTCCTGCAGATTCACGGAGTCATCCTGCAGGACATCACCCCCCTGGACACATGAGCAATGAAAGTATGCTAGTCAACCAGTCTTCGTCTGTTGCCAAAAGCAAAGAGAAGTTCGATATTCCACCAGTCTTTTCCACTCAACGGGAAGTTGACCCAACAAAGGCTGCAGCCCCCATGCAGCTTTCACCAAGTACAGAGCAGGTATATATACCAATGCTTTTTTTTTTTTATTTGTTTGAATTTAGAGGAATAAAAGGAGCATCACACCAAAGAGAACCATCCTTGTCTGAGGGTTACTATAAGACCTGGGATTTAGAATCAAGAGGTCCCCTGAAGTCCAACATCTGCTATTCTGCCAACTGTCTGAGCTTATGGTGAGAACACGCACCATCTCCTGAGTGTGCATAACAGAGCCCTGTGACTAAGGTGATGTACTTAACTTCAGGGCTTTGTTTTTTATATTGTTTATGTTACATAGGAGCTGGAAGACCATGTTTAATCTAAGCATGGGTCTAGGCAGTGGACCACCCACCTCTGATTCTTCAGCTCCAAGAGTCACCCTCAGACAACCTAAGCAAATCTAAAGATGGTAGTAAATTTTTCATAAATCTGCACAGTAAAAAATGAATAAAGACTAAATCTTTAGATTCTTGCATAAACCAAACTGTAGCAGGTTCTCTTTAAAGGGACTATCCACACTCATAAAGGAAGAGGTAAACTTCTCTATGTGAGCTATATTATACTGTTGGATAGAGGTCTTCTGCGCTTAAACCCTTGTTAAGCTGTTTCCTGTATTTCACAAATCAACCACGAAGCTGCTTGGCCATCAAGAACCAATCAGCTTTGTATTGTCAGATTCAATCTTGGAAAACAATTAAAGGCCAGGATGGTATCACATTGAAAACTACAAGTAGTAATGCATTTAAGCCATAACAAATAGCTGTTTGCTGATAGTCCAATGAAGAGACCTTTATTGGTCAATAGTGCATCAGGAGTGGTGAAGTTTTACACTTTAGTTATGAAAGTGAAAAATTCCTTTGAGGAACCATCCCATTAACCCTAGTTAAAAGGCTAGTGAGAGAACTCCAGCAAAATGATGCCTTTTTCTTGACTTCTACCAGCAAAACCAGTGCAGGTTCCACAGGTGCTGGAGCAGTGATGCCACTGAGAGTCAAGTCAAGAAGTTGTCAAGCCTTGGGAGTCTTGGCTCCTCCATTAGGATGAGGTGCTGGTTATACTGTGGAGAAGGGGAAGGTGTATTTTAACATGTAATTGTATCAGTCAGGTAGATGTTTTTACTGGGGTCTCTACAGTTTGATGGTCAAGAAGGCCAGTTACACAAGAGTTTCATGACAGGTAGTGCCCACATGTACACTATATTTCCAAAAGTATTTGTACACTTGCCTTTACACGCACATGAACTTTAATGTCATCCCAGTCTTAGTCCGTAGGGTTCAATATTGAGTTGGTCCACCCTTTGCAGCTATAACAGTTTCAAGTCTTCTGGGAAGGCTGTCCACGAGGTTTAGGAGTGTGTCCATGGGAATGTTTGACCATTCTTCCAGAAGTATGTTTGTGAGGTCAGGCACTGAAGTCTGGCGAGAAGGAATGGCTTGCAGTCTCCGCTCTAATTCATCCCAAAGGTGTTCTATGGGGTTGAGGTCAGGACTCTGTGCAGGCCAGTCAAGTTCCTCTAACCCAAACTCGCTCATCCATGTCTTTATGGACCTTGCTTTGTGTACTGGTTTGCAGTCATGTTGGAACAGGAAGGGGCTATCCCCAAACTCTTCCCAAAAAGCTGGGAGCATGAAATTGTCCTAAATGTCTTGGTATGCTGATGCCTTAAAGCGGAGTTCCACCTGAAAAAAAAAAAAATAAAAGTCAGCAGCTACAAAAACTGTACCTGCTGACTTTTAAAATACAGCCACTTACCTGTCCCTCGGTCCAGCGCTGTCCTCACCACCGCTGGTTTCACCGGCCGTCTTCTCTCCCTGGCACCGGCATCTTCAGCTTGCGGCTTCACAGCCGGGTGCCCACATTGTGAATGGCCCTGTAGTCTTCTGGGACCTGTCACGTGTCCCAGAAGACTATGGGGAGGAAGGGGGGAGACGACTAGGCGATCGCAGCGGAAGTGGGAGCGGGTACCTGTCAAATTAGGGCACCCCCGTGTTCCCAAGGTGCCAATCCTTAATGGGGAGCGGGGGACAAAGGCTGAAAGCGGAACTTCCCCTTTTGGATGGAGCTCCACTTTAAGAGTTCCCTTCACTGGAACTGAGCAGCCAAGCCAAACCCTGAAAAACAAGCGTTAGGAGGGTGTAAAAGTCCATAAAATGTTCAAGCCGGCAACTCAGTGTAGTCCATAAAATCCAAATCTTTATTGTCTACATCAGTGGTCTCCAAACTGTGGCCCATTGCTTGCTTTTATCCGGCCCTCGGGGCACTATTTCATCCACTGATACCAACAATGGGGAATAATTTCACCCACGGACACCAATGAAGTGGTAAAATTCCTCCCAATGACACCCAATGATGGTGCACAATTCCTCCCAATGACGCCAACAATGGGGCCCAGTGACACCAATGATGATGTCTAATTCCTCCCAATGACCCCAACAATGGGGTCCAATTCCTCCCACTGACACCAAAGATGGGGCATTGTCTATTCCCACTGACTTCAGGACCTTTTCTACTCCCAACAGTCACATTCCAGCTCTCCTAAAGTCTGAAGGACAGTAAACTGGCCCTTTGTTTAGAAAGTTTGGAGACCCCTGCTCTACAGTCCATACAAAAACACACTGGTAACAAATTAACGTGCTTCGGCTGTAATAGTCTTCCTCAGGCTATTACAGCCAAATTAGTTTGTTCCCAGTGTGTTTTAGTATTTAGCCAATAAAGATTTGGATTTTACGGACTATACAGAATTGCCAGCTTGAACTTATTATGGATCTCCTGAAAAATGAGCAGGTGGATTGGAAAGCCTATGTGAAAAGACCCTTTGGGTTTAGATTGATGGGTTGGTTGTCATATGCTAAAATAAAGAGCTATTTCTGCACCCCCATCCTGTGAAGTGGTTCCTTCTACTGGCTCCTACATCATTGCAGAACATAGAGGCCAGTGGGAGGAACCATTGGGCCCAGCGGGGGGGGGACTCGTGTTGAATGCTAAAGACTTTGTCCTCACTGTAACGGTAAACCTGCAATACGATACTTCTGAATTCAGAATTCTTGTATCTTCCTTTCTCATGATACATTAATTGTCTATTTCCAGGTAATCTGCAAAGACTGGATAAATTTGGCAGGAAAAAATTACATCATCCTTAACATGTCAGATGATATCGATTGTGTAAGTAACAACAATGGTCCACCTGAACTGACCAACACCATGCAGTACATATTTACTTCAGAGCTGTGGCCTTGAAAGGTGACAGGATCTGGTTGGTTGCTACAGGCAACGCCACCTTTTCCTTTTTAAAAAACAAAACCCCAACCTGACAAGGGCATGATTTCGTGGCAGGCTCAGTAGCCCCCTTCCTTCCCAAATTACACTGCTGGATGTGCAGGCCGGAGCCTGCCCCGAGATGTACCAGTCTCCATGACAACTGTCCTTATTAACCATCTCCAGGGTCTCTGGGTTGCCATAGAAACAGCAGAGGGGATTAGACAGCCGAAGAGGGAGGGAGGAATGCGGAACTGTTCGGTGACCTTTTCTGCAAGCTGCCGACTCTTTCGCTGCCGTACAACATCTCACCCAAGAAGGCACCACTGGCCATACGTTGTCCTCAAGACTATAGGAACTTCATGGAGTACTCCGCCCTTTGGAGGGTTGGTTGGATTGCGCCCCGTGAGACAACCAAAGAAAGAAAGATTTTTTTTCATTAGTTTACCTCTTTTTGCATTCTTTGGATCTCGTAATTCGTTGATCTCTTCATCCTCATGCACACGGGACTTTTTACAGCGGCTGTTTTTGGTTTTTGATGTTTTTTTTTACAGTCAGTAAACCCCCCAACATGTTATCCTATGTGTCCATGCACCAGGGGCGGACTGACAACTCATGGGGCCCCCAGGTAATAGGGGATCATGGGGCCCCTGTGTCCTTGCCCAAACTCAAAAAAGCCTATGAAAAAGGTACCAGGGGCATCTCATGGGGCCCCCTACTGACCCCGGGCCCTCGGGCAGTGCCCAAGTTTCCAAATGGTCAGTCCGCCCCTGCCATGCACACATAGACTGTAACACATAGACTGTAATCAACGTTTTTTGGTAAAATGCTGCAAACCGGCATTTTTATACTTTTTTTTGACCCCCCCCCCAAAAAAAAAAACACAGGAAAAGCGCAGCTAAATGCTAATGCAAAAATGCTAAAAAAGATTCAGGTTTTTAACGTGACTTTACACAGCTAATGTTACCAACTCAAAATGAATTGGGGATCTTTGACACAGGCGTTGAAATTAGGTGGTTGGGTCGTGTTTTTAAGGCCCCATGTACACGGGACACGTCTGTATGATGGAAACTCACTGCTGGAAAACGTAGGTTAAAAAACGTCTGTTTAGCCGCGTTTGCATAACTCATTTATGTGCGTTTGCATTTAGAAGCGGTTTTTAAAGATAAGCACAGGAGAACCTCCCAAATGCCCAGAATGCACTGGAAAGTGGTAAATTATTAACTATTTCAGACTGTTTCAGAGAAATACAGAGAGTAGAAGCAGAGACAGCAGGATGTGTTGAGATTAGCTTAGGTGTGAGTTGCTCATTAACATTTCTTTTGTTTCCAAGGGTGGGAAAGGTGTCTACTGGAGGGAGTCATTAAGGCCACCTGGCAGGGGGTCCGCATGAGGAATTTGAGGTGTGAATGGTCTTTTGTTTCCAAGGGTGGGAGAGGTCTGAGGTGTGAATTGGTCATTACAATGTGTGACAAGCTTGGTAGGAACATCCTGTGTTCAGTGTATCCATCCTGCGGGAATTGTCGGCTTTCTTTACAACTTACCTTTTCGTGGAGCGGGTCCGGTGTCACCCCGTATAAGTTGCATGCGGGCGATCCCCGCAGGATGGTTCGGATCTGTGGATTGAGCATAATGGATCGGAGTCCGATCCATTATCCTCCCCAATCCACAGATCCCATCCCAAGTTGTAAAGAAATCCGACGATTCCCGCAGGATGGATGGGATATGCGGATTGGGGAGCATACTTGATCGGACTCGGACCCATTATGCTCAATCCGCAGATCCGATCCATCCTGCGGGAATCATTGGCTTTCTTTACAACTTACCTTTTCGTGGAGCGGGTCCGGTGTCACCCCGTATAGGCTGCATGCGGACGATCCCTGCAGGATGGATGGGATCTGCGGATTAGGGAGGATAATGGATCGGACTCCGATAAATTATGCTCAATCCACAGATCCGATCCATCCTGCGGGAATCGTTGGCTTTCTATTCAACTTACCTTTTCGTGGAGCGGGTCCGGTGTCACCCCGTATAAGTTGTATGCCGACAATCCCCGCAAGATGGATGGGATCTGCGGATTGGGGAGCATAATGGATTGGACTCCGATCCATTATGCTCAATCCGCAGATCCGATCCATTCTGCGGGGATCGTCGGCTTTCTTTACAACTTACCTTTTCGTGGAGCGGGTCCGGTGTCACCCCGTATAGGTTGCATGCGGACGATCCCCGCAGGATGGATGGGATCTGCGGATTGGGGAGGATAATGGATCGGACTCCGATCCATTATGCTCAATCCACAGATCCGATCCATTCTGCGGGGATCGTCGGAGGGGGTGTCACCAAGTGTTACCGCACCGGGTGACACCAACCCTAGGGACGCCCCTGGTGAGAGGTAAGGTGCATAGACAGCAACCAGAGTTTACATTCTTGTCTACCTTTTTTTCCTTTGTTATGATTGGAGATTCTTCTTACTTCTACAGGAGGAGTTCAGACGGAGGAAGGGGCAACAGCTGCTTTCTCTCTTGGAAGGAGCGCTCTCTTGGAAAGCAGAGCCACCCCAGAGGGACTGGCTGATCTTCCTAAGCAAGCCCAATGAGAATGACAATCACCTGCTAATGACAGTCACAGAGGAGGAACGTAAGTCAGCTTCCATCCACCACGTCCAGACCAGGGGCAGACTGACAACTCATGGGGCCCCCGGGCAATAGGGGATCATGGGGCCCCTGTGTCCTCGCCCACACTCAAACCAAACCCAAAAAAGCCTATGAAAGGTACCACGGGCATCTCATGGGGCCCCCTACTGACTGGCAGTGCCCGAGTGCTCCAATGGTCAGTCTGCCCCTGGTCCAGACACGATGGATAATGGTGCCTTTCTGCATCTAGTCTCACCTTTGTATCTTTGTTTTTCAAGGTGTGGTCCCTGCTAAAGATGTCTTCATGGCATTGGGCGACATAAAACGAAGCCTCGCAGAGGTCAGTGGTGCATACGGCCAATAGATGGTCATGGTCTTCCTTTGGTAGGACTCAGATCAGATCTATCATCTTCTTCCCCAGCCTGACTGTCCCTGGCCCGCCCCTTTCAATCATTGGTTTTCAGTTCTTTCCATCATGAAGGCTCAGCATCACATGTGGGCGGTCTACATGCAAATAGCCTGCCTAGGAATAGCCACTTCTCCAGACTGACACCCACCCATCGAGGCATATTTGAAATATGTATAACTCCTCCAAAGAGCCAGCACACTGCTTGAATCAGGGCCGAGGGCTCTTGTACTGAGGCAAGAAGCTATATACAGCTGGCCTCTCCGACCAGCCACATTTTGCCTGCATTGCATAGAGAAGCGCAAAGGCCCAGTAGTAACATCACCAAGTTTAAAATAATATCCACTTGCCGACCAGTCATGTACCTGGCATGTCACTGGGCTTCAAGTGGTTGTACTGGTTTTTTAGAGCCACGATTTTCTTGTAATAGCAATAGGAGCTGATAACTAGCTGTTTGATTGCTAATACAAGCAGCAGGAGGGGATATTCCCACCCTTCTGTGGCCTTCCGTGGCTTTAACAGCATCTCCTGCCCCTCCGGTAGTCCGGATCGGCCAGTTGGGGCTTCCAATTTGTTTGGCTCTGTGATTGGCTTTTTTTGGCTCTGTGATATAGTAACCCGGAAGCGATGACCTTACATCACTTCCGGTTTGCATGGCGGAAAACAGCTCCATTTAAAGAAAAAAAAAAAAAACATTTAAAGTGCTACTAAACCCCGGACACTGCATTCACTATATCTGGTCTCCCCCAGACCCTGCATTCACTATATCTGGTCTCCCCTGACCCTGCATTCACTATATCTGGTCTCCCCTGACCCTGCATTCACTATATCTGGTCTCCCTGGACCCTGCACTCCCTATATCCGGTCTCCCCGGACCCTGCATTCACTATATCCAGTCACCCCGGACCCTGCATGCACTATATCCGGTCACCCCGGACCCTGCATGCACTATATCCGGTCTCCCCGGACCCTGCATTCACTATACCCGGTCTCCCCGGACCCTGCTTTCACTATATCTGGTCTCCCGGGACCCTGCATTCACTATATCCGCTCTCCCCGGACCCTGCATTCACTATATCCGGTCTCCCCGGACCCTGCATTCACTATATCCGGTCTCCCCGGACCCTGCATTCACTATATTTGGTCTCCCCGGACCCTGCATTCACTATATCTGGTCTCCCCGGACCCTGCATTCACTATATCCGGTCTCCCCGGACCCTGCATTCACTATATCTGGTCTCCTAGGACCCTGCATTCACTATATCCGCTCTCCCCCCGGACCCTGCATTCACTATATCTGGTCTCCCCCGGACCCTGCATTCACTATATCTGGTCTCCTCGGACCCTGCATTCACTATATCTGGTCTCCGCGGACCCTGCATTCACTATATCTGGTCTCCCCGGACCCTGCATTCACTATATCCGCTCTCCCAGGACCCTGTATTCACTATATCTGGTCTCCTAGGACCCTGCATTCACTATATCTGGTCTCCCCGGACCCTGCATTCACTATATCTGGTCTCCGCGGACCCTGCATTCACTATATCCTCTCTCCCCGGATCCTGCATTCAATATATCTGGTCTCCCCGGACCCTGCATTCACTATATCTGGTCTCCCACAGTACACACAACATGGAAATGCAATTACTTTAATAAATATAAAATGCTAAATACCTTTTCTCATCAGCAGTGTATAGCAGTCTTGTGACTTCTATCAGTGTCCAGCAGAGCACTGGTTAAATCTTGTAGGAGGAGTTTTCTTTCTGCTCTAGGAGGATGCAGAATCCCTGCCGTCTGTGTGGACAGTGCTGATTGGCTCTATGATGATCACAAGCACTGTCCTAAGAAAAACCCTCTCTAGCAATACATACCTAACTGAGCATGTGCATATGGCTACAGGTTCAGTCTGTCTTATCAGGAGATAAGACGTAGACATTTGAACAAGAGGAGGAGCAGAGAAGACAGGATCAAATGGCCTTTTTTACCCAATGCAGAAGATTAACCCCTTATTTTCCACAATGAGTATAACCAGCATGCTTTACTGCATATACAGACTGATTGTACTGTTGTGGGTTTAGTAACACTTTAATCACACTGACCTTGGTGTGATTAAATGCTTTTAAGGGCAGAGGAAGGATCTGAGGTCTTATTGACCCCAGATCCCTCCATAAAGAGTACCTGCCTATTGTCTTTGCAAGGGATGTTTACGGCAATAAAAGTGATTTGAAGCAACAGTGTAAAAATAAAAATAAATGAATAAATTTTTTTAAAAATTAAAGTGACCCCATTCCCCCTTGCTTGCATGCAAAGGTGAACGCACACGTGGGTCCGGCACGCACACAAACAGTGATTGTCCCACACACGTGAGGTATCACCGCGAGCGACAGATCATGGGCAGTAATTCTATCACCAGACCTTCTGTAAATCTATAATGGGAACCTGTAAAGGCTTTTAAAGGGTCGCCTATAGATTGCATTTACATTGCTTGTCGCCGTTGCACGGGCGTGTGCAATTTTAAAGCGTGACATGTTTAGTATCTATTTACTCGGTGTAACATCATCTTTTATATTTTCCCAAAAATTGGGTTATCTATTGTGTTTTTTTTGCATTAAAATTCGAAAAAGTGTATTTTTTTACAAATTGTCTGGCAAGAGCTAAATTTGGGTGGGCAGCGACGTATTGTTGTGCGTATAACTTGCTTTGGCCCACAGTCAACTGATACAAATCTTCTGTGAAAAACAGCAGAGGGGCTAAACACTAGTGCTGGTAGTGAACTGGGCTGGCCCTGCTAACACTGCGTTTTTGGGGACACTATACTAAGGGGGCACTAGTATAGTTCTGTTCGTGATCAAATATATTGATCTGTACAAACACTACACTTGTTATGACGGTGATCAGCGACCTATAGCGTGAGTGCAATAATGTGCGGGCAATCAACCGCTAACTGACCCTAACTGATCCTGACATTATCAGATGTCGCTAGTGGCAGTGATCAGTGAGAAATTCTATATACTGACACTGTACTAATGGCACTGGCTGGGTGATGGGGTAATCAAAGGGTGAAATGTGATAATCTAATGTGTGTGTAAAATGTAGTGCCTTTACTCACAGTGTGGTGTTCTCTGTTCTCTCCCTGGACTGACGGGGGGGCACGTGCATGCGTGCTCCCACCCGGATATAGAAAACGATGTTAGGGTACTTCGCTTTGCCCAGAGCCATTGCTCACCTGCATATTGCGGGTCAAAAAGTAGTTAAAAAGAAAAAAAAACCTTTAAATCTCAATATTTTAACTTTTAATATTTTTTTCATTTTTTTTTTTTTTTTTTTTACTTTTGTTACCATTTTTTTTTCACTTTCATCAGAGTAGTTCAGTGTTACAATAGTAACATTGTACTACTCTAGGGGAATTAATCAGGGATTTTTTTTGTTACACTTTGCATGGCAGGAGCAATAAAGATTATTGCTCTTGCAATGCAATGATTGCTTTGATGTGTTATGAGTGGGTTAAGTTCATGACAGTTCAAAATGCTAGTGATCTGTTATTGGCTACAGCTTATCACATGGTACGGGGTGCTGTGATTGGCACATGTGCCATGTGAGAGCTGTGGGCCAATCCCAGCTCACTAGGAAGAGAAGCAAAGCTGTTATGAATCAGACTGATTCATAACAGCTTTGCTAATTATGCGATCACATGATCAATGGGACCTGATTACCGGGATCTGTGGGGGTAGGGGGACCCGAGCCAGCGTGCAGTGCCCCCCTGTTTTAGTACAGCCAGAGTGACGTACTGGTACCTCGCTCTGCCTGTAGCTGCCGCCCGTCCGCGGGGCAGTTGGCAAGTGGATATACAGTGGGGATCAAAAGTTTGGGCACCCCAGCTAAAAATTTGTATTAATGTGCATAAAGAAGCCAAGGAAAGATGGAAAAATCTCCAAAAGGCATCAAATTACAGATTAGACATTCTTATAATATGTCAACAAAAGTTAGATTTTATTTCCATCATTTACACTTTCAAAATAACAGAAAACAAAAAAATGGCGTCTGCAAAAGTTTGGGCACCCTGCAGAATTTATAGCATGCACTGCTCCCTTTGCCAAGCTGAGACCTGCCAGTGTCATGGATTGTTCTCAATCATCGTCTGGGAAGACCAGGTGATGTCAATCTCAAAGGTTTTAAATGCCCAGACTCATCTGACCTTGCCCCAACAATCAGCACCATGGGTTCTTCTAAGCAGTTGTCTAGAAAATTGAAACTGAAAATAGTTGACGCTCACAAAGCTGGAGAAGGCTATAAGAAGATAGCAAAGCGTTTTCAGATGTCAATATCCTCTGTTCGGAATGTAATTAAGAAATGGCAGTCATCAGGCACAGTGGAAGTTAAAGCAAGATCTGGAAGACCAAGAAAAATATCAGACAGAACAGCTCGCAGGATTGTGAGAAAAACAATTCAAAACCCACGTTTGACTGCACGATCCCTCCAGAAAGATCTGGCAGACACTGGAGTTGTGGTACACTATTCCACTATAAAGAGATACTTGTACAAATATGGTCTTCAAGGAAGAGTCATCAGAAGAAAACCTCTTCTACGTCCTCACCACAAAAATCATCGTTTGAACTTTGCAAATGAACATATAGACAAGCCTGATGTATTTTGGAAACAAGTTCTGTGGACCGATGAGGTTAAAATTGAACTTTTTGGCTGGAATGAGCAAAGGTACGTTTGGAGAAGAAGGGGCACAGAATTTAATGAAAAGAACCTCTGTCCAACTGTTAAGCATGGGGTTGGATCAATCATGCTTTGGGGTTGTGTTGCAGCCAGTGGCACAGGGAACATCTCACGAGTAGAAGGAAAAATGGATTCAATAAAATTTCAGCAAATTTTGGATGGTAACTTGATGCCATCTGTGACAAAAAGCTGAAGTTAAAGAGAGGATGGCTTCTACAAATGGATAATGATCCTAAACACACCTCGAAATCCACGGGGGATTACATCAAGAGGCGTAAACTGAAGGTTTTGCCATGGCCTTCACAATCTCCTGACCTCAACATAATTGAAAATCTATGGATAGACCTTAAAAGAGCCGTGCGTGACAGACAGCCCAGAAATCTCAAAGAACTGGAAGACTTTTGTAAGGAAGAATGGGCAAAGATACCTCAAACAAGAATTGAAAGACTCTTGGCTGGCTACAAAAAGTGTTTACAAGCTGTGATACTTGCCAAAGGGGGCAGTACAAGATATTAACTCTGCAGGGTGCCCAAACTTTTGCAGACGCCATTTTTTTGTTTTCTGTTATTTTGAAAGTGTAAATGATGGAAATAAAATCTAACTTTTGTTGACATATTATAAGAATGTCTAATCTGTAATTTGATGCCTTTTGGAGATTTTTCCATCTTTCCTTGGCTTCTTTAGGCACATTAATACAAATTTTTAGCTGGGGTGCCCAAACTTTCGATCCCCACTGTATAATTAAAATGGAAAGGTTTTATTTAAAAATGTCATTAGCATGTTGATGGGGGGGGGGGGGGGAGAAGGAACCAGGGGAAGCAAAAGAGAAGCAGATTACACTTCAGCTTTAAGAACCCCTGCCTTATAGATCTAGTGTTCTTCACTTCTTTACAGATCGGAATTGAAAGTTACTCCAGCACAGTCAGCTGCCAGTCGCGCCCCAGTCCACCCCGGAGCGATTACGGAAAACTCTTTATTGTGTTGGTCATTATCGGTTCCGTGTGCGTCATGATCATTGTTGCCGGGCTCATTTACATCTGCTGGCAAAGGCGTCTGCCCAAACTGAAAAACATGGTGAGTATAATTTTTATATACAATTTGATTTCACAGCTGTAGACCAACGGGCAGAGTTGAGAGGGGGTTTCCACATTCGGAAAACATGTCCATGTTTGTTTTGCCTCTTTTAAAGGAAATGTTTTCAATTAGATAAACTTGGATAACAAATCAGCTTGGTGTAAGTTAAACATGTGCAGTTCGTTTCGTTCTGAATCGAAATTCAGACTAATGTCGTGTTATTCGGAGATTTGGATACGTCCGAATTTCTGAAAAGCCTGGAGATGGGCTATTGGCTGCTATTAGCTGAGCCTACTAGCAATACACCAAAATGCAAATTATACAAATGTCATGGTGACTACATCTCTCAGTATGTTTGTAGTAGTGCCATCTGTGCAGAAATGACTTCTCAGGGATAGTATATGTGTTGTAATTCACTTGTATTCTCTCCCTGTCAGAGAAGAAATGGCTAAAACAGGCAATTAACAAAGCCCTTGCTTTTCTTTTATGTAATCATGGCATCATTAATACAAAATGTTAGTTTGAACAAGGGGTGGACTGACCATTTGGAAACTCGGGCACTGCCCGAGGGCCCGGGGTCAGTAGGGGGTCCCATGAGATGCCCTTGGTACCTTTTTCATAGGCTTTTTTGAGTTTGGGCAAGGACACAGGAGCCCCATGATCCCCTATTGCCCAGGGGCCCCATGAGTTGTCAGTCCACCCCTGGTTTGAACCAGACCCTGGGATAAAGGCACCACATCTCCATCAACTGTATATAGGCAGCACACGCAATATTTTATGACTTTTCAGGTGCAAGAGAGCGATGAATCCTACACTTACACAAACATATGAATACATCAAATCATATTTTTTTTTTGTAAAAATGTTAATTTAAAAAAAAGAGTGCACTCACATTAAAAAGTGTCCTACTGGGACACTGCAGTGACAACGCCTGTGATCTGTTATTTTCGGTATACTCAGAGAAATCTCAAAATGGCGGCTCGTGAGCTTCCGGTATTGCGGCTTGACATCATCGGCCCACCCGCCACTCCCAGTAGGACACTTTTTAATGAGAGTGCGCTCTTTTTTTAAATTAAAATTTTTACTAAATAAAATATATGATTTGATGTATTCATGTGTTTGTGTTAGTGTATGATTCATCGCTCTTGCACCTGAAAAGTCATAAAATATTGTGTGTGCTGCCTATATACAGTACAGTTGATGGAGATGTGGTGCCTTTATCCCAGGGTCTGGTTCAAACTAACATTTTGTATCAATGCTGCCACTATTACATAAAAGAAAACCAACGGCTTTGTTAATTGCCTGTTTTAGCCATTTCTTCTCTGACAGGGAGAGAATACAAGTGAATTACAACACATGTACTATCCCTGGATAGTACACTGCAGTGAAAATGCCTGTGATCTGTTATTTTCGGTATACTCAGAGAAATCTCAAGATGGCGGCTCGTGAATTTCCGGTATTGCGGCTTGGCGTTATCGGCCCACCCGCCACTGCAGTGTCCCAGTAGGACACTTTTTAACCACTTCCCATCTGGCCACTGTATATAAACGGCCAGATGGTGGCAGTCCAGGGGCGGGTTGCCGTTTATAAATGGCGCCTGCCATTTTGGATTGTGCGCACTCCCTGGGAGCGCGCGCGGCACCGCCATCCAGTGCCCACTGTGTCTTTCGAACACCAATCGCTGTACGGGACCTCTGTGTGAGGTCCCGATCATGTGATCACTGATTGGCCAATCTGTGATCACATGAATAGGTGTAAGCAAGATGTCACTTCCGACATCATTACTTACTGCGTGTGAAATCTGTGAATGATCACAGAGATCACATGGTACAAGGCTATTCACAACAGCCTTGTACCATGTGACAAGCTGTGACCAATCACAGCTCACACATTATTTCTCAGTGGCTGCAAGAATGCAGCCAAAGAGAAGGAGAAATGATTGCTTTTACAGTCTTTATGGGTATAAAAGCAACCAGTGTAAAAAAAAATAAAAAATGTCATCACCAGACAATGTACTGCTAAGGTGACAGTATGTAAAAAAAAAACAAAAAACATAAATAATAATATAAAAAAAAAATAAAAATGTAAAAAAACTTTCTTTTTTAATCATAATTTATGGTTCTAAACTAATTTGAGTCATTTTTTTTTACTAAAAAGATAACTGAAAAAATTTTGGCCAATATTTATGAAGAAAGATTATTTATTTGCAAAATTTTATAAGAAAAACACTTTTTTTTTCAAATTTTTTGGATTTTTTTTTTAGTTTATATAGCAAAAAAAAAAAAAAAAAATCCCAGTGGTGAAGAAATACCACCAAAATAAAGTTTTATCTGTCTCAAAAAAATGCTAACAAATTCAAATGGGTACGGTGTTGCATGACCACGCAATTGTCATTCAAAGTGCGACAGCGCTGAAAGCTGAAAATTGGCCTGGGCAGGAAGGGGGGGAAAGTGTCCGGACTGGAAGGGGGGGGAAGTGTCCGGACAGGAAGGGGGTGAAAGTGTCCGGACTGGAAGTGGTTAATGAGAGTGCACTCTTTTTTTTAAAATAAACATTATAGTATTTATATGCTACACTATGTTGAGCGTTTTTGTTCACATATGTGGAGGATATGGTGGATAAGAAGCAGGCAGGGGCGGACTGACCATTTGGAAACTCGGGCACTGCCTGAGGGCCCGGGGTCAGTAGGGGGCCCCATGAGATGCCCCTGGTACCTTTTTCATAGGCTTTTTTGAGTTTGGGCAAGGACACAGGGGCCCCTTGATCCCCTATTGCCTAGGGGCCCCATGATTTGTCAGTCCGCCCCTGGAAGCAGGTGAAGCCATTTGGAGCAAAGTGAGGAGGAGAGTGGATTCTGGAATGCCTTATACCTACCCGGGTCAAAAGTGAAAAGCGCTGTTTGACCTGTGTATGGGTCAAACAAGGAGGTGGGAGTACATATGTATGACTTGGTGGAGGAGCACAAATAAGTGTGGCTTTGGACACGTGGAAGGAAGGAGCACCTATTTGCACAAGAATTAAATTATGCACATCTTTTTCATTTATTCCATGTTCCTCTTTAATGTCTTTGCAAGGAGCTGCATTTCGTGGAGAATGGCTGCCATGATAATCCCACCTTGGACGTGGCGATGGACGGACAGTCTGAGATGCAAGAGAAAAAGGCGAGCATCAATGGTGGCACTGCACACCAGGCAGACGGCTGGGAGACCCTAATCAACAAGACTGGCAAAGAGGAGAGTGAGGCCATGGAAGAGGATACCCACTTATAAAGACCAGCGACAGCCCGGTCTGTAGGCAGAACTTTCATTGGCCAAAAGGGCACCTTCAGGATGCGTCATTTCACCAAACCCAGATGCTGGGAACTAACAAAAAAAATGGAGTTTGTCGATCTGTAGCAGCACAGAAGTTTAGATAGAGCACACAGTGTCAGTGACTACTCATAAGCTGGTCCGCGGTTTACAGTGTTTAATATGATTGCACTTTACTCTTCCAAAGATTAAGTTGAGAGTCGGCTCACCAGCGTACTGCTGTCTGCCAGCCCTTTTCCTGAGCAGCCTTGGCTGGACAGAGCGTTGTTTTAGATTAGGCATTGTACATTTTCTCCCCTGTGGCGATGTAGGACTGGGATCGCATTTAAACGCACAGACCGCCTCCATTGTTCTGCCTTGTTATGCCAACAGTATGTAGTTTGTGTCCTTACAGCTTGGTACCAAGTCCACTAGGCAAATTCTGAAAAATGAAAAAAACAAAACAAAAACAGGGCACAGGGTATCTACAAAAAAAGTTTCATGGTCTGAGGGACTATTTTTTTTACCTATGATGGCCGACGCTTAGGTGGTGAGCAGGTCTACTTCAGTGCTGTAAACAGCTCCTTGGCCTTTGCACCTAAAGGCCAAAGCTATGTGGACCATTTGTAGATGCACCAGTAATTTGTATGCAATCGCAGACGACCTGTTAAGTGACGGTAAGACCGATGTGCTATGGTGTAAGCTATATGAAGCTGTTATTGAACATGCAAGTGCAACAGCTGTGCTCGATCAATGGCAGCAGCATGCTACAATGTAGTTTACACCTTATGGGTCCATTGCACCATCATCTTGAGAACATTTGAAGGCAACTTTGGGTATGGTGCACTTGAGGTCGTGTTATTGCTTATACAGTTGTGACCAAAATTATTCAACCCCCAATGCATAAAGGGGTTTTAGGGACTATAGTGTACATTTGGAATTGTATTCAGAATCAAATCCTACAAGGACGTTGTAACTACCCAAATGCAACTAAAATGACATCAATTGTTTATGTAATACAGTAGTAAATGGTTCTTATGTGGTTTCTTCATTGCCACAATTATACCCCTTGACTACACTCAGAAGAACAGAGGTTTACAGTGAAAATCTTAAAGACTTGTGGGCCACTCTGAAGAACAGAGGTTCATAAGGTGCTTTCCCATCCCAGGTATGGTGAAAACACTGTGGATGTCACCGAGCAGCAATCAAGCAATAATAAGCACCAATTAGGCAGCTTTAAAATGACTGTGATACTCAGCTCCTTCTAGACATTTACTGGTGTGGTTACAAACCATGGTGAAGGCATAGAGAATGGTCCAGGAAGACAAGAGAAGAGGTGATTTCTCTTCACAGGAAGGGCAATGGCTATAAGAAGATTGTGCAAAGATGTTAAAAATACCAAGAGGTTCACCTTAGGAAGCATCATTCGCAAATTCAAGGCAAAGGGCATGTTGAAACGCTACCCATGGTCGTGGCTGAAAGAAGATGCTGAACCGACTGCTGGCGCTACCTGAAGCGTAGAGTGGAGAGAATTCCCCTTGTGATCTGCTGAGGAACTGAGAAAAGATTTGTCAGATGGGGGTACAGAAGTTTTCAGCCCAGACAATAAGCGCACACTGCGTAATTGAAGCCTCCGTGCCAGAACTCCCAGGCGTAACCCCTTGTTTAAAAATCTACTGTCTCCAAAGCTAAGAAGAGTCGACTGCAGTATGCCAAAAGCCCTGTGGACAAACCAAAAGTTGTGGGATAGTGTTCTGTGGACTGATGAAACAAAATTAGAACTGTTTGGGCCCATGGATCAACGCTATGTTTGGAGGAGGAAGAACAAGGCCTATGATGAAAAGAACACCTTGCCTACTGTGAAGCATGGTGGTCAGGGTCAATCATGCTTTGGGGCTGTTTTGCTTCTGCAGGTACAGGGAAGCTTCAGCGAGGTGCAAGGTACCATGAATTCTCTTCAGTACCAGGAGATATTGGATGGAAACGTGATGCAGTCCGTCACACACCTGAGGCTTGGGAGACGTCTGCACCTTTCAACAGCCTGGGCAATGATCCCAAGCATACCTCCAAGTCCACTAGAGCATGGTTGCAGAGGAAAGGCTGGAACATTTTTGGAGTGGCATCGCAGTCACCAGACTTAAATCCGATTGAGAACCTCTGGTGGGACTTAAAGAAAGCAGTTGCAGTGCGCAAGCCTAAGAATGTGACTGAACTGGAGGCCTTTGCCCATGAAGAATGGGCGAAGATACCCGTAGATCGCTGCAAGACACTTGTGTCAAGCTATGCTTCACGTTAAAAGCTGTTATAATGTAAAAGGATGTGTACTAAGTACTAAGATTGAATGTCACTTGGGGGTTGAATAAAAACTGATAATGCTGTGAGCACAGAAAAGACATTTGGGTTATTTCATTATAACTGTTATGTTATATTTGTCTGACCTACAAGTGCCTCTTTAATGTAAATTAAGCAAGATGACTGAATGATCAAAAGCAATGTCAAACTGGCCAAAACACTCAATTTCAGTGGGGGTTGAATAATTTTGGTCACAACTGTATGATGCTGGTTTGAATGAAGAATCATATAGATTTCACTCTAGGAGGAAAAAGCTGCTGAACCATCTCTGTATTCTTTCCCATGATTCCTGCAAGCATTGAGCTGGTGTGTAGTCCACATGACCATCCTGCAAAAGCAGAGGATCACCCATCGTGGCTCCGACCTGCACTTATTCCTGTAATACTTTTTTGAAAATCTAGTGCTAAGGACTACTGTTAGACTTGTGGCCAATCGAAGCCTTGGCTTAGGTTATAACGTCCCTGCAACCAATACCCATATGGTGCCTGTAGTTTTGTGATCCACCTTGCTGGGCTGTATGGCTGCAGAGCTTAAAGTGATCAATGCCATCCCTCTTTCCATCCTGTCTAGGAGTACCTGTGCATAACGGCTCCTTGAAGCTACTTTGTGCTGCATGTCACAGTTCTCTAACAATCCCTAGATAGCAGCTGTGCAAACTGTGTAAAAATCTATTGTCAAGTTCCCTTTGTGACCAATCAAAGCCTTAGAACAGTAAGAGATTTAAAGTCCCCGTGACTTATACCCATATGGTGCCTGTAGTTTTGTGATCCACCTTGCTGGGCTGTATGGCTGCAGAGCTTAAAGTAACTCATGCCATTCCTCTTTCTATCCTATCTGGGAGTACCTGTGCATAGAGGCTATTTGAAGCTACTTTGTGCTGCATGTCACAGTTTTCTAGCAATCCCAGGGTAGGAGCTGTGCACACTGTGTAAAAATCTATTGGCAAGTTCCATTTGTGACCAATCAAAGCCTTGGAGCAGTAAGAGTTTAAAAGTCCCTGTGACTTATACCAGGGCTGGATCTAGCCTGTCTGATGTGGGGGTGCAATAAAAAATGTCAGGGGGGCAAAGAATGGGAGGTCAGCAGGGCAGAGCACAGGGGTCAGCAGGGCAGAGCACAGGGGTCAGCAGGGCAGAGCACAGGGGTCAGCAGGGCAGAGCACAGGGGTCAGTAGGGCAGAGCACAGGGGTCAGCAGGGCAGAGCACAGGGGTCAGTAGAGCAGAGCACAGGGTTCAGCAGGGTGGAGAACAGGGGGCACTCAGCACAGCTCCTTCTCATATCTCTGCACTGCACACAGCCTGGGCACAGACAGCAGAGCTCCCCCTATCCACACAGATAGATTTGCCTTTGGGGGGGGCACAACTAAACTCTGAGGGGGCATAGTCCACCCCAGCAGCCCCCTAGATCTGGCCATGGCTTATACCCATATAGCAACCCTACATTTTGTGAACCACCTTGCTGGGCAGTATGGCTGCGGTGCTTAAAGTGACCCATGCCATTCCTCTTTCTATCCTAAGAGGCTTCTTGAAGCTACTTTGTACCCTATGTCACAGCTCTTTGACAATCCCTAGATAGCAGCTGTGCACATTGTGTAAAAATCTATTGTCACATTCCCTATGTGACCAATTACAGCCTTGGAACAGTGGGAGTCCCTGTAACGTATATCCATATGGTGCAGGGGCGGACAGACCATTCGAGCACTCGGGCACTGCCCGAGGGCCCGGGGTCAGTAGGGGGCCCAATGAAATACCCCTGGTACCTTTTTTATAGGCTTTTTTGGGTGTGCTTTGAGTGTGGGCAAGGACACAAGGGCCCCATGATCCCCTATTGCCCGGGGGCCCCATGAGTTGTCAGTCCGCCCCTGATATGGTGCCTGTAGTTTTGTGATCCACCTTGCTGGGCTGTATGGCTGCAGATCAATGCCACTCCGCCTTCTATCCTACCTAACAGTACCTGTGCACAGAGGCTCCCTGAAGCCACCCGTCACAGCTCTTTGGCAACCTCTAGATAGCAGCTGTGCACGCTGTGTAAAAATCCATTGTCACATTCCCTTCCGTTATCCTTCCTTTGCCCAGTGGCAGAAGTTAGGCTGGCCATACTTTTTCAATTTTCGGTCCAATTTCTGCCCAATTTCCTTTAGATTTACCTTCAACTATGTAGTGCAAGGGCCTGCCTAAGGCTGGCCATACACTATACAATTTTCTTGAGAATTGTGCTTTAGATTTACCAAAAACCATATAATAGGAAGTCAAACCTAAACAACACTTTCAATTGTATCCAATTAGGCAGGCCCTTGCACTACATAGTTGAAGGTAAATCTAAAGGAAATTGGACAGAATTGTAAGAAAATTGTATAGTGTGTGGCCAACCTTAGCCTTTAAATGCCAGCTTCCAATTAATGCTTAATTCAGTGTTCCCAATGATCCTCCAGCTTCTTATAATTCTCCCAACCCAAAGGGTTGTCTCTGCCCCTCCCACAATGGGGATGGCGTTGTGTGCTCCAAGAGCTTGATACCGCATGTGTTATCGCATGTGTTATCGCATGCTGCTTCAATGGTTTTTTATTGAGTTTTACCAAGTAAGGCTGGCCATACACTATACAATGATCTATCCAATTTCTGCCCAATTT